CACTGTCATGTCTTTTCTCTTTCTTTCTCCTTTTGGGGCAGCTTCTGAGGATCCCGAGCCCCAGGATCGATACCATGGGATTTATTTTGCCATGCTGCTGGCTGGGGTGGGATTCCTCCTGCCCTACAACAGCTTTATCACCGATGTGGATTACCTGCACCATAAATATCCAGGTAGGTCTCCAGCAGCTGTAGGACTTCCCTGCCACCCCAAACTGGGAGAGAGCTCAGCTGCACTTCCAGGGGAGCTGGATCCCTGCCCTCCCCCATCACCTGCCTCTCTGCAGGGACCTCCATTGTCTTCGACATGAGCCTCACCTACATCCTGGTGGCCCTGGTGGCCGTGATCCTCAACAATGCGCTGGTGGAGCTGCTGAGCCTGCACACCCGGATCTCCGTGGGTGAGTGGGGGACCCTGCACCCCCGGCAGTGCTGTCCCCGTGCTGCCCCCCTGCCACAGCCTCTGTGTCCCACCCACAGGCTATCTCTTTGCCCTGGGACCCCTGCTGTTTGTCAGCATCTGCGATGTCTGGCTGGAGCTCTTCAGCCGCAGGCAGGCCTACGCCATCAACCTGGTGGCTGTCGGGGTGGTGGCCTTTGGCTGCACAGGTATGTGGGACATGCACAGGTAGGGGTGGGAAACAGCCTCATTCCGGAGCCATGGTCTCCTGGGATTACCTCTCGCCCTGATCCTTATAAGCTTGTATCCCTGCTCCACCCCCTCCACCTCTGTCCAGGCACCACAGGGTTGGCCGGGGGCACCAACACCAAACTGTGCATTGGCCACCAACACCCCCGATTTGGGCCACCATAGTGGCTTCCCAAGCCCCCACACCTGGTCGCTAATCGTGGTGGGAACAGACATGGTGAGGCATCCAGAGATTACCTCTCGCCCTGATCCTTATAAGCTTGTATCCCTGCTCCACCCCCTCCACCTCTGTCCAGGCACCACAGGGTTGGCCGGGGGCACCAGCACCAAACTGTGCATTGGCCACCAACACCCCCGATTTGGGCCACCATAGTGGCTTCCCAAGCCCCCACACCTGGTCGCTAATCGTGGTGGGAACAGACATGGTGAGGCATCCAGAGGGGGGAAAAAAGCCTTCAGCTTTTGGGGCAGGTAGAATTTGGGAATGCTGCAGCTCCCAGTTGGCTCGGCATCTGGGCTCCCACTGAGGTTACTTCCCCCTTCCCAATGTTTTGGCTGCAGCAAAAATCCCTCCTTCTCCCCTCTTTGTATCTCTCCTGAAGTGCAGCAATCCAGCTTCTACGGCTACACGGGGCTGCTGCCCAAGCGCTACACGCAGGGAGTGATGACAGGCGAGAGTAAGTACCCATGACCCCTGCCAGTGTCCATGTCCCACCACATGGGCTTGCTCAGGGGGACCCTCCTGTACGTTCTCCTGGGTCCCCACTGTCCCCAGCTGGGTTTCCAGCAGAGCAGGGACACCCCAGAGTGTTTAATGGTTTCTAAATCCCTGCCTCACCAAGCTGGGAGTGGGGATGTCTGCCAGGAGCCACCTTCATCACCCCAAAATCTTTGCTGGTAGCTCTTCCATACGGGGAGGTATCACATCCAGGCACTGGGGGGACGATGGGGATCCCTGATGTGTGGGGCTCAGCAGGACCCGGCACTGACAGGTCTCCCACACTCCCAGGCACCGCCGGGGTCATCATCTCGCTCAGCCGCATCTTCACCAAGCTGCTGCTGTCGGACGAGAAGGAGAACACCGTCATCTTCTTCTTCATCTCCATCGGCATGGAGCTGACCTGCTTCATCCTCCACCTCCTGGTGAAGCGCACCCGCTTCGTCCGCTACTACACGGACGGGTCCCGCAAGGGCCTCCCCGAGACGCGGGGGGCCGGTGACCCCGGGACGGGCTACCGGGTCCACCACGACGTCACCTCCGAGGATGTCCGATTTGTAAGCCGAGGGTGGGTCTCCCTGCTGGCCCCTGGGGTTCCGCTCACCACTGGAGCTCAGCACTGCTGTCCCCTGTCCCCCCAACCAGGAGAACCGGCAGCGGGGGCAGCCGAGCTCCCCCCGGGACAGCCCGGGCCCCGAAGCTGAGCTGGCTGGCAGCGGCACCTACATGCGCTTCGACGTCCCTCGGCCCAAAATCAAGAGGAGCTGGCCCAGCTTCCGAGGTGGGTGGTGGGCTTCGGGGGGTGAGCCATGCCCACGGGGTGGGTCTGCAGCATTTTGTGGGGTGGAGTTGGTGATTGGTGATGCAGAGTTATGGGGAAGGATCACCCCCAAAGCTGGAGAGGGACTTTTGACAAAGGCATGGAGGAATGGCTTCAAACTGTCAAGAGTGCAGGGTAAGGTTGGATGTTGGGAAGAAATTCTTCCCTGTGAGGGTGGGGAGGCCCTGGCACAGGTTGCCCAGAGAAGCTGTGGCTATTCCATGCCTGGAAGGGTTCAAGGCCAGGTTGGATGGGGCTTGGAGCAACCTGGTCTAGTGGAAGGTGTCCCTGTCCGTGGCAGGGGGTGGAACAGGATGGTCTTTAAGGTCCCTTCCAACCCAAACCATTCTGAGCTGTGCTGCCTGTCCCTGCCAGACATGCTGCTCTACCGCTACGTCGTGTCCCGGCTCATCTGGGCCTACATGCTCTCCATCGCCATGACCTACTTCATCACGCTGTGCCTCTTTCCCGGGCTGGAGTCGGAGATCCACAACTGCACTCTGGGGGAATGGCTCCCCATCCTCATCATGGCCATCTTCAACCTCTCTGATTTCGTCGGCAAGGTAGGAGAGAGGCCAGCACCAGCACAGGGAGGCTCTGTCCTCCTCCTGTGTCCTCTTTCTAAGCCACTTGGCTCCACCAAGGGTTATCTCCACCCCATGGGTATCTGACCATGAGGCTGCTCTTCAGCATGGCCGAGGCTGGGCTCCTGCAGCAGTTGGTCTTTCCACCATCTCGTCTCCTTGCTGCCTCATTTTGGGCACCTTCTTGCCCTCCCCAGCCCTCTTACCCCCCCACACAGTCTCTCCCCCTCACTGCAGATCCTGGCTGCCCTGCCCTACGACTGGAGAGGGACCCACCTCCTTGTCTACTCCTGCCTCCGCGTGGTCTTCATCCCCCTCTTCATCATGTGTGTCTACCCCAATGGGCAGCCCACCTTCGGTCACCCTGCCTGGCCCTGCATCTTCTCCCTCCTCATGGGCATCACCAACGGCTACTTCGGCAGTGTCCCCATGATCCTGGCTGCAGGAAAAGTGAGCCCGGAGCAGCGGGAGCTGGCAGGTAGGACCTAGTCCTCACTGGAATCCCAGGTGGGGTGGCCAGAGCACCCTGACACCCTGTGTCCCTTCCCACAGGGAACACCATGACCGTGTCCTACATGACAGGCTTGACGCTGGGCTCGGCCGTGGCGTACTTTGCCTACAGCCTCACCAGTACCTCCCACAGCACCTGTTTCTACACCGAAACCTCCAACGGCTCCTTCACCTTGGGGTACTGAGCCCTGGGGCGGGGGGACAAGATGGGACCTCTTTCCCACCGTTGTCCCCACCGCCCCACTTGGCCCATGTCCCTCCTCTGGGACAGGGTGGACAGGGACTGGCATCCTGTGGGCACAGGGCCGTGGCATTCCAGAAAGGCCCGTGCTGCCCAGACAGGCACTGCACAGGGTCACTTCTTGGGGTGACATTCCTCCCACCCCAGAGGACAGTCCTGTTGTTTTTGGGGGGATCCCCATCAGAGATGTGCAGCTCCCCAGTGGACCCTGGGGACCTTCTGTTTGAGCCAAGCCATTGCCAGGAGGAAGAAAATACTGCCAAATTCCAAAGGGAATAGGACCAGTGCTGGGGAGGAAGACGATGGAGGGCTGGTGAGGAAGAAAAGGAGCAAGAGAGGAAGGAAACATTCCTTCAGTCCCCAGTGGCTCCAGGAAGGTTGGTCTCAACTTTTCACTGATGGTGCTGCAGGTTTTCACCAAGAATGGTTTGAAATCCCAATCCATCTCTAAACATGCCAATTGCTGTGTAAAAGAGCCGATTCAGTTCTGCTGGTTGAGAAAAAAATGATTTTTTTTTTTTTTTTTGTGTCTTGTTTTGCACCCCCCCAAAACTGCAGGAGAGGCAGGGTCTTGCCTCTCCCCCACCCCACACTGTGAATCTGCCCCATTACAATGGGGCTGGGGGGTCCCCAAGGCTACAGCACTGCCAGTGCCACCCACGGGCCACTGCTGAGCTTTGAGATTTATTGCAAGGGACATAACTGATGCTGACTAAATGATTAAATGTCTTTGCAATGATGGCTGGTCCTTACTTGTGTGCCACTGGCACTTAGCTGCTGGTGACGGGCTGGGCTGGCAAACACACACAAAGATGATGCTGCTGTCTGTTCCGTGGGGTCTTGGGGTGTCTCTTGTGTTGCTCCCCAGCTCCAGGGTCCCCTTTGTCATCTGAGGTGGTTGGACTTGTCATTGGGTCCCACTGGACCCCTGCCAGCCTGCAAACTGCTGCGGGCAGCATGTGGGAGAGGGAATGGGCCAAGAGGAGCAGAAAGGATCTGAAGAAGGTGCCAACACCACTTTTTGGGACTGGCTGCACCTCGCTGTGCCAGGAGCTGGCGGGTGCCCCCTCCCAGGGAAGCAAGCCCAAGGAGGCGGCGAGTGCCGGGCTTGGCACCCCGACTCAGCCCCCCCAGCACCGGAGGGTCTCACCATGCCAAGCTCCCCGCTGGCTGAGGTGCAGCTCACACCAAAAAGAGCAAATCCAGCATTTCATCCTCAACACATGGTGCCATGAGTGTGGTGGCCCGGGAAGGACTCGCACCTCCTGCCCACAGGCCCCCATCCAGCAGAGACCTCTGCTCAGGGGTCCCATCCTGTCACTACATCACATGGACGGGTTCTCCCCAGAAAAGCCACACTGGCACTTGGGTTGGGTCTTTTCCCAATTCAGGGGCTGAGCCAAAAAGTGATCGTTGCCACCAAGGGGAGAAAAACCCCACGGTCAGGACAAGCGAGACAAAGAAAGATGCTTCGCTGGGTTGCTTTTTTTCAATTAATTTTTTTTTTTTTTTATGAAAAAAGATCACACGGAGTTCTCCAACAAACAGAATGCCAAAAAAATTGTTTTAAACAAAACATAAACAAAACAAAACAAAAAAGACAAAAACCTGGCTCTCCTTTCCTCTCGATTGTCTGAAATATCCTTGTGTTCCATAGAAGGCAGTGGGTTTTAAGTGCTTTCTATTTAACATTAGCATAAAATCTCTCTCGCGCGCTCTCTCTCGCTCTTTAAAATATGCTCACACAATTTGCTTCTAGAAGTACAGTACACTTTGAGCGTGGGGGGGTGTGCCTGTTCCCAGATCATTTACAATCACAATCCAACAGGAAATAAAAAATAATATTCTAAACGTCAGACTGTGTTCATTTCTGCCGTTGTGGGTTTTTTTCTTTTTTTTTTTCCTTTTTTATAATTTCATAATTTTTTTCACAGTTTTAAAAAGTTTATATTTATATATATATATTTATATTTATATTTATAATTAAAAAGTTGAATCCATTTAAAGACTTATAATACAGGAGGGCTAAAGAGTCTTTTGGTACATTAAAACTGTACAGGCTAGAACCGTTCACTGTCCGCCGTGCCGAGGCGCCGGTGGCCCGGGGTGGAGATGGTACGAGCTCAGCACCGTGTGGTTTGTTTAAAGGATGAGGGGTAACTCTGCAGGGGTGTCCCTCTCCCCTGAGCCCTGGCCTCCAGTCTCTGGTACACAGCTGGTACCAGGGTGGAGAGTTTCCAATCTGTCCTTGGCTTAAGCATCTCCCCACCGGAGCCTGGGCCGAGCCGGGCCCCGCTCCGCGCCCCAGCGATCTGTAGTGCGAGTCGGTAGTTGCAAAGATCAGTGCGTCTCTTGGAGTTTTGTTTTAAGTGCAAGGATGGTGCATCGTTCTCCTCCGGTTCTCCTCTAGTGTCCCCTCTGGGCAGGTGTAAAACCCTGGAGCAGCGGTGGTGGTGCCACGGGTCCGGCGTGTGCTCAGTGGGAACGAGACGGTGGGTGAGCATCTCCGTGGGGAGTCAGGCCCGCTGGATGGAGCAAGCTGGGCGGTCCCCTCCCTGAGCCCGAGGTGGCAGCGGGGCTCTGGCTGTGGGAACGCTGCAGGCAGGCACAGCCGGGTTCATACATCATCCCCATTCCCTTCAAATGATGGACAAAGGCTTCCCAGCAGCTCCACATCTCTGATCAGGCAAGGCATGGAGGCTAAAGGGGGGTGAGGGATGCCGGAATCCAATGGTCTGTGGTCTCCTCTCCTCCAAGCACCGAGCAGCAGCAGTTTTTCCCCAGTCATTTCCTGCCCCTTCACTGCACACTCCAAGTTCTTTGTTTGCCAAGTGTCACCCCCCTCACCACAAGCTTGCTCCCCCCAGCACCTTTCCAGGGCAGGAGGAACAGAGAGCGATGAAAAGAGAGTTCAGACTGTTTGTTCGAGGCAGTGGGAAGGCAGCATCCCAGACTGGGTGTTGGCTCCTCTTCCACCTGGCTCCTCCTATCCCGGTGATCTCTTCTGCTGGGACCAGCCCCGCCCCACCATGCTCCATGCTGCCAGAGGGGCCTCCAGGGAAAGGGAACCGCAAAAAGGCGCTGAGAGGATCGAGACGAGGCGCTGAGAGAGACTCATCTCCTTTCTCTTTCACCCTGTCCTTCCTAAAGGGTCATGCGAAACTAAGCAGGAAAGGGAATATAAGGACGGAGAGGAGCGCACGTGGAAGGTGAGCGGGTGTCCTTCCGTACACGGGCGGCTTCCGAGTTACTGACGGGGGCAAATGACACAAAAGGGATCCCTCCTGCCGGGGGGTCCCGCTGGTGAAATGATCACGAGACCCATGTGCTTTCCTGGACCAAAAGGAGGAAGGGAGAAGTTGGTCAAGTGTCACCTTACTTAAAGCCACTTCCAGAAGAGCCTTGGGCGTTCAAGCACCACCACCACACCCAAGGGCATCTTCCCCGAGTCCTGTAACTGCTTCCCCAACCCCTTTCTTCAGCCCTCTCCTTCCTCCTCGCGTCTCTCGCGCTCTCCTGTCTGTAGTGTGACACAGAAATGAGCATTGAAAGAAACAATCATGTCGTCTGAACAGGCACGTCCTCAGGTTTGTCCCGTCCCTCCCAGGGGGTGGCACGTGTCCCCTGGGCGGTCAGCAGATGACAGGGACCCCGTCGGTGTTGAAGATCATGCCCGTGGTGGGCTCGTAGGTCCCTGCAAGGTAGTAGAGGTCCTCACTGTCCTGGTATTTCTTTGTCTTTAGCATCTGCTCATACTGATCCAGACCAACAACAAGACACTTGTGTGAGATGGTCTGGACATCGTTCTCATCCACATGAGAGGACTGGTAGAGGGCTCGCTGCACAGCAGGAACAGAAGGAAGCAGGTGGGAAGAAAAGGAGAAATTAGATCTCACAGCAGTAACAGCATCGTCTTCAACATGTAGGAAAAACACCCATCACAACAGGACAGGGCTCTGCTCACACTCAAGAACTTCCCACTCATCCCAACAGCCAGCCCAGGGGAGGGACAATGAGAATCTGCACCAGCCTATGGGCAGCCTGGACACAATCCATCCAGCCTGCTGAGCCTGAGCCCTGGCTTTCACTCAGCTCCCACCAAGGGGAATGCTGTGGCTGCCAAGCACAAGTACAGGGAACGTGAAGGCTCAGAGTTTGTCATCCTCACTTCAAGGATACAAATGCAAAGATGGGTGCTGGATACCAGTCCACTGTTCCTACCCATACCCAGCACCTGCAGCTACTCCCATCCTCCCAGAAAACATCATCCCAAGTCCTGGACACTGCAGACTCAGCTGAGGCAAAGAGCAAGAGCCAGAGAAGTTTGGGGGGCATTTCCCCACCACCATTTGTTACAGGGTGCCCAGCATTCCCTCCCAGCCTTTCCCCAGCCAGACCAACCTCCATAAAGTCCTTCCTCTGGTTGGATGCCTGCAAAGCTGTGGACAGACTCCTGCCTGATTTCTGATCCCAGCGCTGCGCCCAAGAAGGAAAGAGGAAACAGAAATGAAAAGCAGGTGAATTAGTTGTTTTTCTATGCCAGCACCTCCTGCCCATCTCATGTGCCTTTGGAACTTCAACTCCCACCCACAGTCACTGGGAATAAAACCTAAGAGCCTGTTATAAACAAAGCACATGTGTGCAAAATTCAGTGTTTCTGAGCACCAGGCCAGTCACTATTACACTGTAAAGACTTGATCTGGCTCTTGACATTCTTTTTGGACCAACACAGAAGTCTTTATTTCCTATTAGGATAAAACCCACCGCTCCCCTGTTCAAGGGGCAAACACCAAGCTCGTCCAACCCCCCACAACATGAAAGGATGGGACCACCCCCATCAGGGTACCAGTAAGAAACTGGGCCTGGGGTGTTTTCCTCATCCTTGGAAAGAAACAAAAGGGAGCAAGGAGCTTTGCAGCCCTCTCAGCAAAGGAGACCGGCCTACCTTGCCCTCGTTGAGTTTCTTCCCAGGGTTGGTTTCTTCTGGGTGATAGAACCATTTGACCCGGACCACCATGTTGTTCCCCCAGGACTCCCACATGCTCTGGATCCGGCCAATGTAGGGCAGGTTGGGGCGGCCGGCGGAGAGGAAAACCGCACAGTCTCCGATGCGGATTATCTCCTTGCCCCGGACGATGGCCTTGTAGAACAGCTTCCTGGCCTTCCCTTTCATTCCACGTCTCTGCCAAGAGAGGATTGTGCAGGTGAGCAGCCAGGGACCACCCAGGTTTTCTCCAACCACAACTGCTTGCCCTGTCCCACGTGCACCCATCTGGTGTTGGCAGGGCCACAGTATTCCCACAAGAATTGGGCCAGAGGGACACGCCATGCAGGACAGCTCCCCCAGACACAGCTAAGGCCAACCCCAACCTCCCGCAAACTGGAGACCTTGGTTGAGGACACACCACGACAGCAGTTTCACCACCTAGGAGAAGGGGAAGGGGTAAGAGGCACCAGAAGGCAAACATCAGCACTGAGCTCTACGGAGCAGCGGGAGAGACTCCGTTTACCTGCGTGGGTTTCCCGAAC